CCCACCAAAGCTGTGTTCTAGCGAGCGCTTTCACTCCTTCAACCACAGTGCCCTGCATCTCCATACCACCAAAGTTTCCCAAATTCTGGCCAGGAAGCCCAGCCACCTGGCTCATCATGATGCAGGCTGCTTTCTGATTGTGCAACATCATCTCGCAGCAGGAAAGGTATGCCTGCCATCTCCGTAGACATGCTTCCTCCTGCTCTGCGATGCGTTGTACCTACTCTGGGACCACAGGCACACGACGGACTTAGAGGTTTCGTGCTAGTTTATATCAACCGGCAGTGCCACGTCACTGACTAGCTGCCATGCGAAACATTAGCATCGCATCTTGGGTCGCCACTACCTCTGCGCCCATCCCGGTAGCTGATTGTACCACGTCTGCCTTGCCGACCATCGTGCCATCTACTCTTCCCACCTTGACGGCCGCTAGTCCTACAACCGTCGCTGCTGCCCCGCCGCGGTGGTCTAGTGGCTAAGGTACTTGGCTGTTGACCCGCAGGTCGCGGGATCGAATCCCGGCTGCAGCGGCTGCATTTTCGATAGAGGTGGAAATGTTGTTGGCCCGTGTGCTTGAATTTGAGCGCACGTTAAAGAACCCCAGGTGGTCGAAATTTCAGGAGCCCTTCACTACGGCGTCTCTCATAATCATATGGTGGTTCTGGGACGTTAAACCCCACATATCAATCAATCAATCTACTGTTGCTGCTTCCATCACCACTGCCCCAGCTTCGCTGAACTTCCGCGCTATATCCTTCGCACCTAGCACAACCTTGACTGAACTACCCGCTTCTATTCCTGCCGAAGCCACATTAGCTACGGAAGTCTTGGTCGATACAACCCCGGTATTTCTTGAAAGCACACTTGTAACTACTGAAAATGCTCAGCCTGTCGGGCTGACTGCTATAGCCTTGCCTAGTGCGGCTTCCACTGAGGCCCCATGTTGTGGTGCTACCCTGGATCCATGTGCTGGGCCTTTCACTCTCCTATTTACTTCACCAGAAGTGTCTATCACTGGCCTTCCGAACCAGGAGCAGTCAAACGCAGCCACGGCTTCCACTAGCACCCCTTCAACAGTTCCCGTTAAGCCTCCTGCACATACTTCTACTCCCTCTACTCCCGAAGCCACTTCTACTGCTTAGCTTCTGGTGAGCATGGATGCCTCTTCTTTGCGGTTCACCGAGACCACCATATCTCAGACTGTGGCAACCACTTCTGCCTGAACGTCTACAGTGGTTCCGACTGCTACTCTCGAAAAGAGAATCCCACCGGTGATGACCAAGGCAGCACATGCCCTAGCCCCAGTGCCACTGTCCGTGGCCAAGGTTCCAGCCATGTTGCTTTCCACGACGCTGGCTCCTACTGCGACATAGCTTGTGAAGTTTTCATTCTAGGGTGTTCACTTTGTCCGTCCTTAGCGCCACTCGCAACGTCGACCTCCAGAAGAAAGTTGAGCACCCTTTGGTCACTCCATCCACAGTCGCCACGTCGCAGCCCGCTACTTTCACGACACGCTCTGGGTGTCTGGTACGTTTCCCAGACTTCTACAAGCCCCGAGAGTTCTCCGCTCCGCAGGGGGGTGATGTGGCGACACACTGTGCACAAACTGGCTCAGCCAGCGTGACTCGATCGCGTGCTGCAACGCGCGTTTGATAATGGACAGCGCCACCACTCTTTCACCAGAGGCTGATGTCACCACAGGTAGCTACAAGAGCCAAGCTGCCAGGCTCGCTACACTGATTGTTTTTCTAACCTCATGAGGGCAACGTCAGCATGCTTGCCCTGCTGCGGCTACCACGTTTTTAAATGATCGTTACATTTTATGTTGGGATCCATCCTTCATCGACTCTGCATTCCACGCTGGCTAAAAAATATTGGGGATGTGCAAGTTATCCAGGTACAGTAAAACCTCGCTAATTCGAACTCTGATAATTCGAAATTTCGGTTAATTTGAAGAACTTCTGCGGTCCATGTTTTTCAATGCAAATTTTACCGGAATATTTGAACAGCCCATGAGGTTTTATTTGGATAATTTATAATTCCCACCGACAGCAACAAACGTGAAACGGCCTTCCGTCGACGCTTATCTCGGAGGTCATAATGGTTGGAGTACCAGAAACGGGTTCAAATGTGTTTTCCGTTTCATGTTTTCCACATTCGCGTTTTTCCATTTTCTACCGTTTTCACGCATTCGGTTTCACGTTTTTCACGTAGCTCCCATGCTTCTGACCATTATTCTTGTTTACTTCGCCGCCTACGCCTGCCTGTATTGCGTGTGATGTCCTGACTGGTGCGATGTCGAAGTACGGAATGCTGACGCTGCAGCAGAAGGTGTCCTTGATCGAGGAGGCAGGGAAGTCGACGTGCACGAAGACCTGACTCGTCAAAAAGCACAAGATGCCCTTGTCGATGCACTCGACCATCTTGAAGAACAAAGGAAAGTTGCTCGAGGCATATCTTTCAAAGGTACCGGGACGTTGAGGTAATTTTGATGAAGTGGCTGCAGCACGCGAACGCAGCTCATCTTCCTGTGAACAGCACCATTCCTCGGGAGAAGGGCAATGACCTGGCACTGTGCCTTGGCCATGAAGGTTTTAAGTGCAGTAATGGTAGGTTCGCCCAATTTAAAGAGTGAAATAACCTTACACACTTGACTGTGTACGGGAAAGGCGGCAGCGCCAACTCTAACGTTGTTGATGACTTGCAGATGCGTATGCTGGCACCGCTGTTTCAGGAGTTTGGCAAGCACGATGTCTGCAACTTGGATGAGGCAGCCTTGTTCTACAATATGCTTCCCACGATGACATGTGGTGCCAAGGACACCACTGTCTCGGAGAGAAAGCAGCCCAAGGAGGGAATATATATTTTGTTTGCTGCGAACATGTCTGGAAGCGACAAGCTTCCACTGCTCGTAATCGGCCGATCAGGTAAGCCTAGGTGCTTTAAGAACGCACGTCTTCCTCCAAGGGATGTTGTCACGTACAGACATAACAAGAAGGCCTGGATGACGGCGGCGATATTTGAGAAATACTTGTGGTTCCTCGACCGGAAGTTTGCTGCCGAAAGCCAGAGAGGACTCTTTGTTATTGATAATTGCTCGGCCCACGGGGACATCAGAAACCTGAAAGCTGTCAAGATCCTCTTCCTCCCAGCAAATACTATGATCATGTCAAGCCGATGGACCAAGGTGTCATCCTGCAAACGAGGAAGATTTACCCCCACCACCTATTGAAGCGGGTTCTGCTTTGCTACGACAACGGGAAGCTTGGTGCAATCTGCTTGGTGTGATTTGTTTAATTGCCTTTGCCTGGAAGGGAGTTTGAGCCAAAGGTGATCAAGCGTTGTTTTGAACACGCTGGGTTCCGCAAACAAGGTCGCGAAGATCTTGATGAATATTGCAGCTCGTCCAGCCTAGACGACAATGGAGACTCAATGTGCGCCCGGATCACTGACTCCGGCGACAGGGAGGGGCTAGGCTTAGTGGAGTATTCCAGTGTTGAGGCGGGTGTACAAACATACGCTGATGAGCACAAGGACGTCACGGGCAGTGGGCAAGTCGGCGATGATGGTGTCGATAACGAGCCCGCCGGCGCTCCCGCTTTGGCCTCAGTTGTCGATGCCATGGACACCTTCCGCAGCTTTGTGGAGTGAAGCGGTGATGACAGTGGAAAGCTGAGTATTGCGAAGCAGGTTTGAGAACATGGCACTTGGGGCGGTGAACTACCGCAATAAGCAGACATACAGACAGACATACATACATTCATTATGGTCCAGAAGAATTTTTACCCCACTTTAAAGGGGCAGAAAAAGTAAGCAAAAAAAAACGCAAAACAAAAACTTATCGAGTCATTGAAATCTGAAGTTCACTAGGGTTTCACAGTACTGGGCAGTTTTTGCTTTAGATCGTGGCAATGCACTGCGTTGAATGCTGTAATAGTTTTCACTCATAGCATTTCCTACCATTTAGTGTTGTCCTAATGAAATGACAGTATTATTGAATACCTTTTTGATGAATGCATCAATCGCATAACGAAAGCTTCCACCAGAATGGACTTCCTTTACGAAGCACACTCGCCACCTCTTCGGCAGTCATACGATAACTGCTCGCACGTAACACCCAAAGTGTTACTGAAGGTTAGCTGCAGTGTGTTGTGCAGAAGGATGAACAGAAGTTGCTAAGGAGCATCTTGTTATAGTTGGTCCTGTATTCAGTGGCTGTTATAAGGACCATGTCGTCACCCTAGTTCATAGGTGCCTTCTCATTTTGCTAACTTCATTTTGCTGCCAGTGAATCCACACATATTATTGTGAACTATCCTACTGACACAATTGTAAACGATTACACATCTAAAATTTATAATAAAGATAAACACATATGTGCATTCGATTACAGTAATTTGTTTACGTGTGCTTATTCATCGTTGAGAAGCCAGCCCTCTTATTAAACTTTGATGCCCAGGCCCTGCCAGTCTTCATGTCTCTGAAGAGTAGGCTGGGAGTTCTTTCTTGACTATTTTGTGGGTCACTGGCAGAGATTGACTGCCTACTCTGTTCATGTCTGCTGAAAGCTCTGGAACAGGTTCAGATTAATGATGCGTGGTGTCACATGAAAAATTGCTCACACCGTAGTTGAAACTGCTGCACCACATGTGGAGAAACTATGCCCCAGCAGCATCATTTTAAAAATTTAATATTTGGCTTCACTGGCATTACTTTATTAATTAAATATATTTCATGCACTTTTAGTGCACAGGATTTTAGTCCCTCATAAAACCACCTCTCACTATTATTGATCAGTGTCTAACTGTAGTGCTGGCACTCTCTGTCCCGCCCTTAACCTTGTGCCATAACCACCATGTATCATTATCAGCAGCCGCAGCGCAGCAAAACTTGTCATGCATGCAGCATGTGCAAAGCAAATGTGGACTATGCAAAAGTGAACTCGTATCGTGTTGCTTGTTGATTTTAAAGTGTAATCCTTTTATGATTGTTCCTTGCAGCTGATGCCTCCGCTGGCGATGCTGGCAAACCCCATCAATGCTGTGACTACCAAGTTTGTCCGCACCTCGACCAACAAGATGCGCTGTCCCATTTTCTGCGTAGTGGTGAGTAGAACAGCAGCTCATTATAAGTATTATAGATTCTGTAGATACCCACTGGAAACTTAGGCATGAAGCGCAGACAAGCCACTTAAAATTGGTTTTTATTTGTGGGCGAATTTTGATCAAACTTCTAACCTTTGTGCATTTTCACCTGCTGATTTTAAATATGCGGTTACTTTTTCTGTGCAACACATACTGTATTTACTCGTGTAATGAACGCACTCGCATAATAAACGCACCCCCAACTTCAGTCATCAAAATTTAGCTTCCCCCTCCCCCCTGTGTAATAAACGCACCCCTTACATTCATCCGCTGCAGTCCTGCTAACTGACACCTGGCGTCTCCTCACCCGTTGGACCTATTCTGTTTCTTGATAACTTTGCCAACCTCCCTCAACCACCTCGGCTCGCTTCCTCCGCCCATTACCGCATGTCGTATTGCTTTTTTTCTATCTGTAGTAAACCCATACCCTACATTCATCCGCTGCAGTCCCGCTAACTGACGCCTGGCGCCTTCTCACCCGTTGGACCTATTCTGTTTTTGATAACTTTGCCAACCTCCTTCAACCACCTCGGCTCGCTCCCTCCGCTCGTTGCCGCATGTCGTATTGCTTTTTTTCTATCTGTGATAAACGCATCCCCTACATTCATCCGCTGCAGTCTTGCTAACTGACACCTGGGGCCTCCTCACCCGTTGGCTCTCTTCCGTTATTTATTACTTTGCTGACCTCCCTCAACCTCCTCGGCTCGCTCCCCCCCCCCCCCCCCCTTCGCCCGTTGCCACGCCAGGAAAAAATGAATATTTTACAACCTCGAATTAAATTAGGACGTACGAAAATTTATTTGTAAAACCCAATAATAACTTCAAAAAAATGATTTTTATAAAAATCATTCAATAATATGTAACTATATACTAGTCCTGTTGCACTTGCCAATTCACCACCTTTTTGACAAAAAAAAAAAAAGAATTATTAAGGTGGTCGAGAAGAACCAGAGATATTGTTGCTCCAATATGACACTATCAGAAGTACCACATCAGGGAACCAGGTAAAAAAAAAAAGTTTGTTGAAATGTTTTATTGTGCAGCCCCCGCCGTGACAGTCCCATCAGCGCGAAAATATCATTCATGAATGTCTGCCCGATGCCAAAACAGAGCATTGCACGCGTGGATAAAATGTTTATTTCAAATGCATCGCACGACTTGTCACCATCAACTCTGCGTAAGGTGCATGCCTTCATCACTTCACCACAACAGTCGCACTTCACTATCAATTTCTTAGTGAGCACGTAATCACGGTCACCCATAACTAGTTTCACACACCCTCCACATACTTTGCACCACGCTTTGCATCGTAGGGAATCAGCGAGCAGCCCATTCAGGATTTCCAAGGCTACCATCAAATACGAAGCTATAGTGTCTGCGGCGAAGGCCAATGACTCGTTGCTTGCATCGGGGAAAACCCCAGTCTTTTGCGCTGTTGCCGGTGCCAACTCTAGGCGATCAGGCATGACCTGCTCACGAGCACTTAATTGGGCTATGTCCCTGCTCGTGACAGCTTCAGCATCAATTTGTACAAGGCGAGAAACGACGCTAAGAATTCTGTCGTGTTCGGCCGTATTGCTGTCGGTTTCATTATTGCAGGTCACTTGCAAAGCCGGACGGCGGCATGCCCTTATCCTACGGACTGCTATCACTTGCGCCAACGATGTCGGATGCGCTATTTGCTTGCTCATCAGTTGTAGAGCGGTGCGATACCAAGCCTTTGTGGAGCGGACCGCAATCACCTCCATTGCCGTTATCAGGTGCCAAAGCAACAACGCTCGCTTGCTGATTGGTTGCGGAAACCTGTGAGGTTGCGAAAACCGTGCCAGTAGCCCTTTTTTTTTCTATTTTGCCTCATCTTCAGTCGATTTGATACACTGAATGGAATTTTCTTGGTCCTCCAGGCACGTTCGTCGTAAGATTGTAACCTAAGCCAAAATGGAGCCTCAACTAGCCAAGCCAAGTTTTCAAATGCAGCGCCCTAAGTCAATGAGACAACGCCATTTTAGCCACGCGATCGGAAGTGGCCAATGACAATGTGTTACGGCTACTTTTTTTCTTTTTATTTGAGAAAGTGGCAAGCTCAGTGTTGTCCAATTGAGCAATACAAAAAGCCAAACGCGCGAGCTTTTCAATGATACCAAAATGGCTGCGTTGGAGCGAGCCGTGCAACTGTTAAGGCAGCAGAAATAAGCACGTTTTTTTCCACATCTTCAAGGGCTAGGGGCATGCCAACGTATCATTGATTTACTGTTACGCCGCTAATACGCGGAATTTTGAAACGAGAACTTGCACACAGGTGCGTGATGGTAGAAAAATAATGAAAATGACTCTTTTGGAAATTATGTTTTTGGGCAAATTTTCATGTTTCAAGAGCCATGTCTCCCTTTAGTATAGGTGTTCACTGCCAGGGAGTCCTCTTCTCGTTTGCGGCACAGCCAGGAGAGCAGCTGATGAGACGTTATGTGGTAAGGCGATAAGAAAGTGCACGACCTCTGGCAGTACAGTACGCGCACTTTAAGAGACACTTCTTTTGTCATATACGGGAAGTGTCTGCTGTCTGAAGGTCCAACATGGTTACCAGGTGGCACTGCTCACGGCCTTGCCCTGGTGGCAACAACAGAGCTCAGAATCTGGAGCTCTTTGTTAAACTGAGTACGACAAGCTTCAATTGACCGGTTAAGCAGCCATTCAGATGGGACCATTATTGTAGGATTGTGCTTGGGCTGTCTACAAAGTCATTTTGGAAAGAGATCAGTGTTTTGCTCGATTGAAGCGGATATTCAAAGTTAGCAGCCATTGCAGCACCTTTATGGACATATGCCATTTTTTTACATAAGCATGCCCCATCTCGGTGAACTGTGTGTATGCTCTGCTCCATGAAGTTGGAACCTAATTGCACTCTGCACTGTTTGTTGTACGCCTCGCTAGTCTGTTTTTGTTCCGGATACGCCTTCGGGATAGCGTCGTCTCCTTCTTGTGTGTCGCCTCTTTCTTGTGTGTCACGAGGTCGCAGCTGTCTAAAATTCCACTACTTAGTGACGTTTTCGCACACGTTCTGTCATCACGGGTTGCTAAGGCAGCTGCAAGCGGAAGTTCAGTATAGTTAAACCTACTTATAACAAACCTCCATATAACGAATTCCTCGATATAACGAAGTTTTTTCATTCCCCACCATTACTCCATAGAACCACATGTATTTGCGAACTTTATGTAAGAAGGTAACAGTGGGAGACAACCGTGATATAATGAATTTTCCCCACGGACAATCTAGGATTTTCACTCTGCATTTTGGTACGAGCATGCATCTTCAGCAGCTTCCCCACTGCCGACGAAGCGCAAAGCGGCGGTGGCGCGCACGGCACACCAAGTGAGAGCGAATGTGAGCTCGAGGCAGGCAGGCGAGTGTGCCCCCCCCCCCCTCCCACTCCAGACCAATATACATAAAAAAAAAACTACTTTTGCATGTTGGCAGTGCCACGCTTTTAGTTAGCGTCACATATGTGGGGCCACGCTGCATATGGTGGGCGCTTTACCGAATAGTTTCTGCTGTATTCGTGCCTGTGTCCTTGTCGTTTGCTCTGCGTTTTTGACGCCGTGCACGTGTGTGTAGTTTCACTGTGCACGCATGGTGTGGCTCCTGATGCCATTCAGCTTTGCTTTTCTTTTTATTGTGATAGCAATTATATGGACAGTCTCGGCAGTTTTTTTGCCGCCTCCGTCAATCTCCGTATGTGTATGCGTATCTACATATATGAAAACGGAAGAAAGAAAAAAGCTGCCGCACTTTGCGTCCAGGTTGTCGCGATGCATGCGACAATCTTATCTCCCACGCATACTTTGCCCCGCCAGGGGGGGGGGGGGGGGGGGTTGCTAGATTCTTGTACGGGCACGCTTATTCTTTGGTGAGGAGAATTGCGTGCCTTCAACTTTGACTGGAATGATTGCGCTTAGTGGCCGGGCACACAAAGATCACTTTGCTCGCTGCACAGGCGCTGTTTGCTAAAAGGGTGCGCTTTTCAAACACAGCGAAGTAACAACTGGGGCACTTCTTTGTTCACTGTTCCTGTGATTTGGTTTCGTGCCTCGTTTTTGTTTGAACAGCGCGTTAAGTGTCGAGCGGTAAACAATAGCTCGCTCTCGTCCCGTGTATGTTGTTTTCATGCGTTATTTGTGTGGGAGCAGCACGCTGCACGTTTCCATCGCATGCTGCATGTTTCAATCTGCTTGGCCTTTTCAGCGTTACATTCCAAGTTGTTGCTAATGCATTGAATGCTTTACCCTTGCGGCGAAACTGTGACTTTTCTTTTGTTCATTTTGGACCACCATGTCATCACCTGCGAGGGGATGTTGAGATTAGGCACTGATGGAAACTCTCAGAGACCACATCGAGGACGGTTCTTCAGAGGTCGACTCGTCACGCGCTTCTGTCTTGCGCTGTGGTGCGAGTTTGCAGGCTGGTAGCTTTCCCGATTAGCCGATTAGTTCTGGCAGCGCAACGGCTCATTAAATGCAATGCAATGAACGCAGTAGCAAAAAATTGTAATGTTATAACAAGTAAGACTGGCAGCCAACTCTTTTTGATTCGATATCGCGGAGCTCCTACAATTTGTTGGTGTGAGCAAATACGGCTGCTCCAAGGAGAAGTGCCCTTTTCACACAGTCCCTTCACGTTGAAACCGCACTGATACTCGCCGAGATAGCAAGCGCGCCAGGGGTCGCGACTGCCCTTTTAATCCAAGCTCATTATTGCTATTTGAGCAAAGCCCCCGCCCCGTCTCCGCGTTGTTTTAAACTCATTTAACACAGGTGCTTTACTTTATGCTTGAGCATTCAACGGCAGTTTTAACACGCAGGAGGTGGTATCTTATGCACTTTCCAGGCGACGATAAGTATGGGACGACTCATTTCATCCCTGCTTCAGCAGCGCTCGGGTGCTTTTACACGCGCAGGAAAGTTCG